GCTTCGGGTTCCTCGACCATGGCACTCGTTTTCTTGCCAATGGACTTCTGGCAAGGGACAGGTTGCACCTCACGAGGATGTGGAAAAGGTCCTTTGGAGATGCTCTAGCGAGCTTCGTCCGGAAGACTTTAAACTGAGCCGGGGGGGGGGGTCAGGCCCCCCAGTAGCATGTCTGCACTGGACAAGTGTGGGGAGAGGATCAGGGCTCTGGGAGCAGGGTTTTAGAGATACTGCAGGGACTGACAGAACTCCTTCAGAGAGGGGCCAGGTATCAGGGAGGATGCGAGGAAGGAGGAGGCTGGGGACTCCAAGGAAAGGAAGCAGTGGGAAGGAGTTGAGGTGCATGTACACCAATGCGAGGAGCATGGGTAATAAGCAGGAAGAGCTTGAAGCTCTCCTGGGAATAGGAGGGTATGACCTGATGGGAATCACAGAAACTTGGTGGGATGAAAGGCAAGTCTGGAATGTGAACACAGAAGGGTATCACCTTTTTAGAAAGGACAGGAAGGGAAAGAGAGGTGGGGGCATGGCTTTATATGTCAGGGAAGGGATAGGATGCAGTGAGACAGAATGCAGCACAGATGGGGATTCAGCAGAGGCAGTCTGGGTGAAACTTAGGGGTTTTGACAGGGAAAGGGACCTGACTGTGGGGGTATGTTATCGCCCTCCAGGTCAACTTGAGACCCTGGATGATGGCATGACAGGCCAGATTCTACGGATATCTCGGGGGAGAGACACAGTAATTATGGGAAATTTCAGTCTCCCGGATATTAGTTGGGAGACTCACTCGGCGGTGACAGCCAGGTCATGTCGCTTCCTAGAAGCTATAGAGGGAGCATTTTTCACACAGAGGGTCCGAGAGGAGACGAGGGGGGAAACATCCTTGACTTGGTCTTGACCAATAGGGAGGAGCTGATAGATCAAGTAAAGATTAGGGAAGCACTGGATGCGAGTGATCACGCCATCCTTTGCTTTGAGATCAGGGGACTGCGGACCGGCAGCAGGTCGAGCACTAGAAGCTGGGACTTCAAGAGGGCCAACTCTGGCCAACCAAAGGCCAGACTGGGGAATGTCTCCTGGGATAGGTTACTGAAAGGCAAGGGAGTTGAGGAGGGGTGGATGGCACTCAAAAGGGAGGTTTTGGAGGCACAAGCCTTGACGATACCTCTAGTCAGTAAGGTGGGGAGGTGGAGGAGAGTGCCGCCATGGATGCGAAAGGAGGTGGTTAAAGGGATTAGATGAAAGAGGAACCTCCGTAGGAAATGGGTACTGGGGCAAATAGACAAAAGG